GTGGAATGGTGTTCATTTTGTTGTGGTTTTTGCTGCCCCAGCAGTTTAACACAAGAGCTGCTTTCACGGCTGACCCCAAAATGTACTCAGCTGTCTTGGCACTTTCCGATCGGATGTCGTGCCAAACTTTTCTGCGTGGAAAGCATCCAACAAACGGCGGTGGGTATTGGGATAGCGGAGAAGAAAAATTCCAAAAACACAAAAGAAACAAACAGCGAAAGTAACCGAAATAAAAGAAGAAAAGATTCGACGGCCCCTAATGTTCAAAGTTGTTCCGAGCCAAGTCACCAAATCACTTGATTCGCTTACGGAAAAAAGGGGAATCTAAAGACGACAATACGCCTGCGCCAACCCACAACCGTTTTTATTTCCCGTTGTGTTTCTTGGGTGATCAAGATGGTAGTGTTAAGACGGGAAGGGAAATAACATCGGACCAGTGATGAAGAAATAAAAGCTGGGTCTTTAAGAAAGAACGTGGTGGAGGAATGATAATAAAAAAAAGAATGACTAAGAAGTGTGTGACGCAATGGTGGTGTTAAGATAGCGGGTAGGAAAAATGACAGTTACTAAGTGTTTGAAAAATAAAAAAAAAACTTAACGGATATGATAGAAGCTGGCTGTTAACAGAGATTTCTCGCAGTGCTCTCTTAAACACCTTGACTTTGACGAAAACGTTTTCAAATGAAACCATTGCGATATTGGCATGTAACAATTCGTTTGTTGAACTATTTGTTTCGTAACATTATTTTTAATTATTTTTATTATTGTTTTATTTTTTTTGGCTTCTGATGTGTACTCATTTCTGTTTCGGGTCCCGACCAGAGACTTAAGGTCAGAAATGCTATCATGACATTTTCCACTGATCAATTTTGAAAAAAGAAAATATCACATATTTTATATAGATAAAGCCATTAGTAACGTGTGAGCTGTACTCGTGAGAACATTTTTTTTTGTTTCTTTAAAGTATGGGCTACCAGGAATTATTATTATTAAACAGAATGCTTGATGTAACTCTCCCAATATTTTTCAACAGATAAGAGAAGAACACGATTTAAGAAAAAAAAAAAAAACAAAAGAAAAAGAAAAAAAAAACAGTGTTTTACAATGTTAAACAATATTTCAAAACAATGTCTGTCTTCTGTTGAAATATTGTTTAACATTGTCAAACACTGATTTTTCTTTTCTTTTTCCTTTCCTCAATCTTTCTGTTCGTTTAAATATTATTATTATTATTATTATTATTATTATTATTATTATTATTATTATTATTATTATTATTTCCTTCGGTTTCTGTTGTATACACATTTCATTCCAGGTCCCAACCAGAGACCTAAGGTCAGAAATGGCTTCATGACATTTCCCACTGATCATTTTTTTTGTAAAAAACAGCAAAGAAAAAAAGCAAATAAAACAAAACAAAAACAAACTAAGAACACACATTTTACATAGATAAAGCCCTCTGTAATGTTTGAGCTGTACTTGTGAGTAGATTTTTTTTTCTTTAAGACATATCTACTAGGAATTTATTTAATGAGTCTGGCGGACCTTTTTACAATCAATCCGAGGGCTCCAACTCCATATGAAATTATTGATGTCTTCATGTGACTCATTTTTGAGATTTCCATTTGAAGATCTTTGTATTTTCATAGTTTTTTTTAAAAGATCTTCAAAGATATATTACAGTTTGGAAGGACTGCCCTGTTCCAAGGCACATTTTGTTTTTTGTGCTTTCTGATCTCAATGTCTGGGCGATTAGCTTTGATTATTCTGTCTCTGTGTATAGTAAATTCCCATAAAATTATTACAGGTCCTATCTCTGTAACCGGGTTTGGGTGATGTTCATATAAGTTTCTTGCAGTTCCCTTCTCGTAAAAGTGGCATATTTTTCAATGTAGATATTGACCTAATCTATCTTGCCGAGTTTTATATTCAGTTGGTGCTATTATTATTATTATTATATGAAGCATCGTCAACCATTTTTGATATTTTGGCAAAGATTTTTTCAAATTAAACCAGTTTTACTTAACCTTGTTTTATTTACTTCAGGGCGCACTTGTAGAATAACTAAAACCCTACAGTATACATTAAATTTTAATAAGGAAAAATTAGTCATAAAATTTGAAAAAATGAAATTTTGGTTTAGCATTCCTAAAGAAGATAAGCGCTGTGCTTTTTATTTAAAGGGATTTATGAAGAATCTGCTATTTCTTTTACAGAGGTTGATAACGACTGATTTAAATATTTCGAGAGATTGCTGCCATATATGGTCCGGTGCCCCTTCTCTTTGTCTCAAGGTTCTTGATAAGATCCAGAGACGGATATGCAATGTAATAAGCCCTGATCTGTCATCTCGTCTGCAGTCGCTCTCTCACAGACGTGCCGTCGCCCCTCTCTGTCTTTTTTTTTTTACAAATACTTTCATGGTAATTGCTCCAATGAGCTGCTTTCGCTGATTCCCAGACTTCATGAATTTAAGCGCCCCACGAGGCTAGCATCCCGCTCTCACCCTTACACTGTTGAAACTGTTAAATGTAGCCGTCTCTTCTACTCCAATAGCTTCATGTCTTGCACCTCTCGCCTGTGGAACTCCCTCCCCTTTTCCTGTTTCCCTGATAGCTATAATCTCCAACTATTCAATTGTAATGTCAATCAATGTCTCCAGATGCCTTGATCTATCCCCTATCTTTCTCTTTATCCTTTCCTCTATCACTCCTATTTGCTCTCGCTCCAACTCTCCGTAACCCCTTGCATGCTAGTGGCTTCCTGCCTTGCTTGGGGTGAAACACTTAAAAAAATAAAAAAATAAAAAGGGAAAACACTATTGATTCCTTAAAAATTAAAGAATTTAGCATCCAGTTTAAAATATCAAATAACAAAGACTTGACTTAGACATGGAAGCCATGTGCTTGGCGTCTCTAGCTTTTTAGAAATGAAGATTATTCGTAAATTACGCTTTTATTAACTTAGTGTGCACCTGGCTACTTTTCAAGGTGCATTAGTACACTCGGCAGCACCGGTTGGATTAAACTATTAACGCTCATCGTAAAATTCTGTAATAACTGTAAAAAAAAAAATCAATTTTATATTAACCATATTTTTAAAAAATCCGAAATATTTATAGATTTCTAACTTTAACCCATTAATGTCTATTACCACAAAAATAGAACAATAGGCATTAATTAATGTCATATAGGAAGAAAATGAGTAATTACCGACACCGAGGTTCGAGCGTGAAAATCTGGACTTATGAATATATGTTTACGCCAGGTACACAAAATGCGGTATCAGGCTACTGACTGCAGTGATTATTGAGAGATTAATGAGTGGAACTATCCAGTCGAATTAGTGTGAATTATTGTGCGTCGGCGATTTTGATTTAAGATTTACCGGACGTTAAGCCGAGCCGCACTACAAAAAAAAAATATTCACTGAAATGGTTAATTATCTTTGGTTGATTTTTACTTCTTTGTTCTTGTTAAGTATTTATTTGAGGTTGTAATTAAATACTGTTTTATTTTAATATTGGAGTCTTGAGTTATACTTAATTATTAACGGACATCGTACGTCACAAAGATTAGTTAATTTCATTTGCAATAGTAATTTTATTAATTGTAATGCTATAATGAATTATCATTATTACTCATAGATCAAGCAATGTCAGTCATTATTAATTTTTGACTTGTATTTCTTTCATCTTATTTTTAGATTGTTCATTTGAAGCAGTCATATTATTATCTTATAATTCTGTTCGTCTCTCCTTTAGACCCTTAGTTAGTACGTACATTAAAACCCTTCTTAAATAATGAAATATTTCGTTTCCGCCTTGCCAGTACCTCATAAATAATGGCCTATTCCGTTTTGATCGTGTGAAAAGACAGAAAAAACATATCAGAGACGCCACTTGGCTTCAGTGAGAAAGAAAGAAAGAAAGAAAGAAAGAAAGAAAGAAGGGAAGTTAGAAAAAGTCATAACACTCCCATGTTCTGTTTAAGTGAACTGGAAAAGTTGCCAATTTTAAATTTTTTCATTTGTATTCACTTCTTAAAATAACAACCAGCATTCATAGTTATAGGATCTTACTAAAAATGTTAAGCTAAAATATTTAACGATGCGATTGGAAAATTTCTACGGATATTTTATTGTCGTAGAACTCGCCATGAGTTTATTCAATCATTAACTGAAGAATTACGATACTCCAGAAATTTCAAATAGCAAAACCGTGAAAATTTCTCAGCTCCTTCTAGCTCTTTCTATTATTAGTAATACTATCTTTAATTTTTATTGGATGAAGCATTATCAACTATTATTAAGTTTTGATTAGCGTTTCTTTATACTTGATTTAATATACTTTATTTACAACAGCAGTATTTATGATTCAGATGTTCTTGCGTGGCCGAGTAGCTTTCCCACCATGAGACCAGGGTAAGGATCTCATCGTGGTCGATGTTTCTGGGATGTTACACCTGAAATCCATACCACGAGTTGGCCCAAGGTTGTGAGTAAAATAGGGAGTCGTCGATGGATGTACAAGTCATCGTGACCGAGGGTTTGTTCAGATTGTTGATCACGCAAGATCATGCGTCCTTTCCCCAAAACTGTAACTAAGGTCGGCTCCGCATAGTTTGCTTTATGAACCATATGTGGCCTCTGTGGGTGTCTGCAACAAGTATTGGCTAGCCACACTAGTAGAGACGCGTACACCGATACGAACGTCCAGCCACCACAATTATGATTGATTCGTTTTCTACGGCTTATCAACCCTTTGCAGGTTATTTAAAGCCAGAAAATATTTATAGATTGTAAGATTTTTTTTTTTTAAGATAATAATAGTTTAGAGATACAACTATTACGTAAGAACTCTTACTATTTAACCCATAACTGGGAGAGGTGTATTCATACCTTTCCCAAGAGTATTTGCGCGTAAGTAAATATAACGAACCAAACGATAATTGGAACTCGGCTCTCAGATTAAAAAATTCGAGCCACCCGTACATACAAGCTTACACTACCTGGTATTCCCAAGCAGTTACCCATCTAGGTACTGACCAGGTTCGACGTTGCTTAACTTCGGTGATCGTGAACCGGTGTTTCAACGTGATGTGGTTGTAAACCATATATGGTCTGGTGCCCCCGCTGTTCATCTCGCGGTTTTCGACAAAATCCAAAGACGGATATGCAATGAGATCGTTCCTGACTTTGGGGTCTCGGCTCCAGTCACTTTCTCACCGACGTAATATGGCTTCCCTCTATCTTTTCTATAAGTATTTTCATGGTATCTGCTCTGACGAGTTATTTTCAATGGTGCGCCGACTGCATGGATTTAAGCGTGCTACTAGGTTGGCATCTCGGTCCCATCCTTTTACTGACGAAACAGTTAAATGTAACTGCCTCTTCTACACCAACAGGTTCATCTCTCGCACTTCCCAACAGTGGAACTCCCTTCCTCTTATTTGCTTCCCTGATAACTATAATCTTCAAAAATTTAAATGTAATATCAATCGATATTTTCTGTTGCCTTGATCCCCGTTCTTCTTTTTATTCTTCTCCATTCCTCTTTTTATCTTTTCTTCAGTCCTCCCTCCTATCTATACACAGTTTTACACTTATTTACATTCTCTCTAGCCTCTTGCGTACTAGTGGCATTCCCACCTTGCATGCGGTGAAATGCTTAAAAAAAAAGGCAATAGTATTTATTAGCAGATATAAAATTATTGAAAGTTTATTGTTCCTCTTCTTCTATGTGCTGTTTCCCACCAGGATGTCAGCCATCACGGCTTTCCACAACTTCCTTTCCTTTTTAGCGCTGAGTAAGTTTCTGGTAGTTTCACCGTCATTGACAGTATCTGCTCTCATTCATTTACATAAACTCGTTAGGTTACTCGCTGTTACGCTCTCTACTATTTGCCTCTACGTCCTGTGAGCGGTCTACATAAAACATGGTTAAATATTACTAATTTTCGACTCGACATCTTAGTTGACACCAACAGCCATCACTTTACCACCTTTCTTTATATAAAGAAAAACACTTGCAGAAACTTATGTCTACTCAACTATAAACGTGAATATCCTCACAGATACAAAGTAGTAGTTTTATAAAAAACTAAAACATGATTTACCAAGCCAAAATAATCTCTTCTTCGGACATATTATTCTATAAACTAGCAGTGTAATCCGTCTTTGCCCGGGTGTTTCATTACACGGAATATTGGCCTTTCAATTGGAGCAGTTTAAGTTTAAAGTCAGCTCATCCGTAACAACAATTGGGTGCAACTGAGGCATATCCCCAAATGAGGGTTAACAATTTGATGGGGTGGCCCTGAAAAGAACCGTTTTTGTGTTCTCAATCTTTCAAGGAAGGAACCTCTTCCATAGACCGTCATAATAATACAATAATTTTTGTTTATAATATAATTTTTTTATAATTCTAATAATCTTTTGCGTTAGATTTCAACTCTCTAAATTGAGTGTACTTCGTTTTTTACAGACATTAACATTTGCCTTTGAATTTGAGCAAAGTGTAAAAAAACAGTTTTTTCGATTTTTCACCTTCAAGGTTGTAATTTTTTCGGGTCAATTTGGACTCAAACCGGCATTGAAAAATTATCTATCAAACAAACAACAAAAAAAAATCATCGAAAGCAGATGAAAACTGTGGAAACGCATAAACAACATACGATTACACACACACACACATACATACACACACATTTTGAGAATCTTACTTATTATAAAACGCAGATTGTGTGTGTGTGTGTGTGTGTGTGTGTGTCTGTAACGTTTATATATTGGATCAGATTTCCTACATTTTTCAACCGATTTCAACAAAACTTCACAGGACTACATAAAATTACCTTGTGGTGGTTCTAACAGCGCCAAAAATGGGAAAAATACAATTGTTTCGCACAAAATCAATTTGAAAACACGATTAAGAAACATCGTGAAAATGAAAGGGGGACAACTCACATCGGGTTGTTTGTGTGTGTGGGTTCCTTTAAATATGGGATCGCATTTCCTACATTTTTCAGCCGATAAAACAAAAATTCACTTTTTTTTTGGCAGGTAGTGTTTCTTATTCTCTTGCACACTTTTTCAACAAAACTTCACTTTTTTTTTGGCATGTAGTGTTTCTTAATGTCTTGCACACTTTTTCTTTTTTTTTACATTGAGAATGCCTTAAAAATTCCATTTACAAGACAATTGTTTATAATAAAATTCTATTCAATCGGTAGAGACTCATAACGATTGAAAACAATGTTTTTGTTTCAGTTTGGGTTTGACCAATTCGTAAAAAAAAAAAAAAACAAAACAAAAAAAAACAAATTAAGACATGCGTGTCCGTCAACCTTAAACAATAATCTTTGTCAATTTTATTTTTCAGTCATTATGATGGTGGATACTTGATCTATCTCTTACTGTTATATCCCCGGGCAACGCCGGGCCGTACTGCTAGTTACAGATATAGATAACTAAGCAACATTAAAATAAAGCTCTAATCATCTT